GGGGGGGGCCAACCAACCAGGATGGAAGCAGGAGATGAAGAAATCCATGCACGCAAGTGAAGAGGAAGGGAGCTGGGCACCGTACTCGGGCTGGATCCTAGAGAAAGCTATTGACCTGTTGAAGAGAACCCTCAGCTCCCTAGGAGTGGAGAATTCTGAGCCCTACGGCCGCCCCAGCTCCTGGTGCCGCAAAGGGAGAGACATCGAGGGGGAAGTGGAACCTGCAGCCCCGGGACATCTGCTGATCCAGTAGTCCCCACTCCCCGCCGACCCGCAGACGGCAATCTTGATGGAAGACACTACCATCGACAACGAAGGCACCGATCCATTCAAAGACTCCCACCGCTGGACGTGAGATTCAAGGGGAAGCCGACACGCTTGGGGTTTTTCCTAACCCAAGTCCTCAGCTAAATGGAGGAAAACAGGCGGCACATCCCCAGCGACAAAGCCCGTATCCGGATAGTGCAAACTGCCCTGGACGGGCCAGCCGCAGATTGGGTGGTGAACTTGCACGACTCCAATGCCCCAGAGCTCAACGATTTCAACCGTTTCATGTCCTCTCTGAGAAGGCGATTTGAGAACCCCCTGGCTGATCGCAAAGCCCGCGAAAGGATAAAAACGATGAGACAAGGTAAACGCCCGGTAGCCCAAGATACGCAAGAATTCCGGGCCATTGCCAGCAAACTGAACTGGCCGGAAGACATCCTCCTTAGCCATTTCAAAGACGGACTAAATTATGACCTATATGACGCTTGCCTGCCCCGAGGGGACCCATACCAACTTGATGAATGGTACGTCTTGGCAGAGGAAGCAGAAATCGATATACTGAAGAGGCACCACCGAGGAAAACAATGGAGCCACTCACCGCCTGAGTTGACACGTGAACCAGTGAAACCATTGGCTACGGCCAAGAAGCAAATGGGGTGTTTCAAGTGCGGGAGAGAAGGGCATTAGGCTGTAGAATGCCACTCAAAAGCCCCCCAGCACAACCCAGACAGATCACTGGCCAGCAAATCCAGAAAATCTCCAGCTAAGCCAAAAGAACCTGCCATGAGAATG